TCAGATCAGTAGTCAGTACTTCGGTACTGACATGATTTATAACAACCTTTCTAAAATTTTGAAATTTAAGGTTTCAACTCCCTCATGCAGAGGTTGGCCTTAGATGGATTTGGCTGTTTTTTATGTATTTTTTGTCATATAGCTCTGCAACTGTTTCGGTTCTTATGAATCCTCGGCTTTGAAATATTCGGCTTTGAGCGTTCCTGATGAAGGTAAATCCAGAACAGCGCTTCGGACGCATGAAATTATCTAACGTGTTGTTTCAATTTTTTTCAGCACTGGGTCTATACTTCTGCTGGTGGACTATCGGTCTCCGAGGGTAATCAACTCAGTAGTGATTTATAACAAACCTTTCTTATATTGTCCGTTTATAAATTTTAAAATTCTAAAGAAACGAAGGTTTCAACTCTCTCAGGCAAAGTTGACCTTAATTGGATTTCGCTATTTTTTTGTTATTTTTTGTCATATATCTCTTCAACTGTTTCGGTTCTTATACATCCTCGGCTTTCAAATATTCGGTTTTGAGCGTTCCTGATGAAGGTAAATCCAGAACAGCGTTTCGGAAATTATTTAACGTATTGTTTTCATTTTTACAGCACTGGGTCGATACCTCTGCTGGTGGACTATCATTTCCCGAGGGTATCATCAGCTCAGTAGTCAGAACTTCGGTACTGACATGATTTATAACAACATTTCTAAAATTGACCGTTTATGAATTTTGAAATTTAAAGAAACTAAAGTTTCAATCTCTCAGGCAAAGTTGACCTTAATTGGAATTGGCTATTTTTTTCTCATTTTTTGTCATATATCTCTTCAACTGTTTCGGTTCTTATACATCCTCGGCTTCCAAATATTCGGCTTTGAGCGGTCCTGATGAAGGTAAATCCAGAAAAACGGTTCGCATGCATGAAATTTTTTAACGTGTTGTTTTCATTTTTTACAGCACTGGGTGGATACCTCTGCTGGTGGACTATCAGTCCCAGAGGGTATCATCAGCTCAGTAGTCAGTACTGCAATACTAAGATGATGTATAACAAACCTTTCTAAAATTGTCCGTTTATAAATTGTGAAATTCTAAAGAAACCAAGGTTTAAACTCCCTCAGGCAAGGTTGACCTTAGATGGATTTGGCTATTTTTATGTTTTTTTTTGTCATATAGCTCCTCAACCGTTTCGGTTCTTATACATCCTCGGCTTTCAAATATTCGGCTTTGAGCGTTCCTGTTGAAGGTAAATCCAGAAAAACGCTTCGGACGCATGAAATTAAACGTATTTAACGTATTGTTTTCATTTTTTGTGAGCATCGACCGTCTATCAAGGAAATCATGATAGGAAATACAAGCCCTGGAATATCGTATCAACTAGGAGATATATACTCAGTATGCAAGTGCTGTTGGAATGTTGCTACATAGAAATGGAAAGTTCACAATTGAGAAGGTGAAATCATCTATTTTGTCGTGAAGGTTTGTTTCAACCGACCCTCATTATGAATTTCTAGATGTAAGTCAAGACGCAGACTTAACTGTATCTGTTGCATCCTTTATCTGAAATTCGATGGGATAGATGCGTTTAACAAAGTCAACAAACTTTGAAATATTTAGTGAGAGAACATCTTCCATATAGCAGAAAGTGAAGTTGAAGGATAATGCTAACTTCTTTTCTTTCTTCAGAAGAAGCTCCTGTATGAATTCAGCCTCATATGAATAAAGGAATAAGTCGGCAAGAAGAGGGGCACAGTTGGTTCTCATAAATATTCCGATTTCTTGTTAAAGTGTAGAAAAGTCAAATGTTTTGATACTATAATAACATATACGGACAAATAGTCATTCTGTCTTTGATGTTAAAAATAGAGAAAGAAAAATAATTATGACCATTGCGGTAATATATTGCAAATGGTGAAGATACCTAAATGTCTCAGAATACACGAACGAACGATTTTGGAAAGGTTTTGCATTAATGTGCAAAAAGGAAGCAACATTTCGATATTTTTTTCATTTTCGACGTTTAGTAAAGTTCTAATCGATTATTTTGTTAGCTCGAACAAGCAACTTTATAAAAATAACAATCAACTTATCAATTAGAAGAGATGTAAGTGTGAATATAAAAAAAAAGATATAATTTCAAGGTTTGGACACATAATGAATATAGAAAAAAGCTTGAGATATCCCACAGAAATAAGAACTTGCACGAATTAGAAATTTTAAAAATGTATATATCGTCTTGTGAAATGAGAGGGGAAAAAATTGCTGCAAATTCACACAACCGATTAAGGAATAAAAATTGTCCGTTATAGGTTAAACTTTCATATATAGAGACTTTCTCCCATAGTGACACTTTTTACGCCAAAATCTGTGCCACTTTTACTATGAATGTTCAGGAAAGATCATATCCTGGAATGGAAAGTTCACATGCAAATCTTTTCTGGCAAAGGTCAAGACATATGCTGTGCGGTGTTTTTTCAACAATTATATTTCTCGAACTTCTTACACTTTATGCTTATACTAACCCTATCTTTAACAAAAGTCTTCATGTGAGTACAATTTGCCAGCTATCAAACTATTTATATACTGGTAAAATTTCCAAGTTGTGTCTCTATGAGATGAAACATGGAGGTCATATCTTGGAATCAGTAGGTAAACAAAACAGAATATCTATGAATATTTAAAATATCTCCCTAAAAAGGCGTGGTTTGTAAATCAGCTGTATGCGCAACCTATACAAGCAGATTAAATTAATATACCGAAGTGTATTCAGACATCAGTGGCGCAACCATAGAAAAGGTGGGAATACAGTTTAAACCTCAAATTGAGAGCAAACAGGTGAGAGAATTATTATTTGAGCATGCATTGGCATGTCGTCTGAAACATGAATGTAGTACACCGTTCAACTGAAATACAAAAACCTAAGGCGGCATATAAAATGAACAGGTTGCTTAAATATTCAGGATATATGGACCATAGTGCTTCATTTCTTTGGAAAGGTTCATCAATGTATATGTGGATACTAAAGGCTTTGGAATATGGCAGTTGTTATCAAATAGTCCGTTTCTATGTATGTTGGCGTTTGTTTTTGTAGCAGTTCAGTGTTTCTGTTGTTCCGTTGTTTTCCTCTTATAGTTGATGTGTTTCCCTCGGTTTTGGATTGTGACCCGGATTTGTTTCAGTTAAATCAATTTATGACTATTGAACAGCGGTATACTATTGTTGACTTTATTTGGGTAAGGTATAGGGAAAATTAAATTCAAGTTTGTGTTGACATTCTTTTTTATATTGACTAAAATATAGATGTAGCGTACAAAAAAAACTTACGTTTTTATTTATTTTTCTGCAAAAATGGAAAAAGAAACTCATTTCACTACACGTTTTTGTTTGAAATATAGATCTTTTGAAGATGCATGGGATTTGATCATTAATAACAACCTCTCATCATTTTTTTTCAAATACAACTAAGACTAGATTAAGATGTAAAATATGTTTTAAGAACCTGGAGTAACTAACAATTCTAGGCCTGTGGATATAAATATGAAAACTATCTTTGTTTAAACGTCTATTTTCTTAAGGGGGTCGATTATAGGTGGTTGGTGTTGACTGTTGTACAGACTAATACTTTTGATAATTCAAGTTATTCTTTTTATCTATAATTGTAATTTTTTGTCTAATTTTTTGTCCGTAAAATAAAACGGGTTCATAAACGTGCGGTCAAAACGTATGTAAAATGTATGCTTTTTTCAAATGTAAAACGACTGAATTATAAGGGTAATTTTCGGGCATTATAAAAACATACGCTTTGTACGGGTGTTTAAAAGAAACTCTTTTCAAAAAACTCATCAAAGATACAGGGCTTTTAACTTGATATGCCAGATGCGCGCATTGTCTACATAAGCTTAACGCTGAATCGTACACTGATATCTTCTGTGTAAAGTATTTTTTATATTACATTTTTTTAAAACTACAATTGGGATACCTTATTATGTCTAACTGCGGTCCTTCTTCGTGTTACAGCACAGCATAAGAAATGACTGTAAGAATAAGCTGTAAATGGCTTTACTCGGCAAATTGGAATGAAGCACAAAAAGGAACTAACATAATGACAAAAGACACACAGTACAGATCTATGATTTCTCGCAGTTACTGAACGCTTTTAACAACATATAAATAAATTATGTTTTCCAGACTTAAGTATCAATCAGTACATCCAACAGATTTAGTGTAAAGTTTAAAGGAAGCATAAACAGTCTGAGAAAAATATGACTATGTGAAATGACATAAAATCGACAAGATTTAGGACCATAAGCTTTCTTAAATGTATAGCAGTACATATTTAGTTATGTTTCAATTTATCAAAAACGATTGTCCGTTGTACTTGCACTCAGGACTATCTTCATACATATTGTGTGTTTTTACTGCCATTGTTTGTCCGTTTTTACCTGGACCCAGAAATACCTTCATACATAATGTCATTTTACTAGCAGATCGGTTAGGATTACATTCATTGTTTGTCTTCTTCGTTTACACATTTTTTTGATTCGTTGAACCTACTTACATTTTGTTTATTACAAAAATACAATAAAATAAATAAGAATAAAATACAAAGTGGCACAAAACATCAATCATTTCCGCAATGTGTACGCTCATTTGTTAATCAACTAAGGGACTAAGAAGGATCTGCGATTTAAGAGACGTTGGTATCTTTCAGGTATATAAATAACTTATGATAGAACTACAGTATTGTCCTGCAGTTGATAATTTAAAGCATAACTGTGATTATGTATATACATCAAGTTATGATATATCATTTATACACCCGTGATTGCTTAGGAAAACGAAATAACATTGTGTAAAAATACAAAAAACATCAACTCTCTGATTGTTGACTGTGTGATGTTGTTTCATTTGACACACATTTTTTCCTAACTAACAACAACATATTATCAATATGAAAACTGCGCAATAAACTATTTTCAAGTGTGATAGTCATCTTACAATTATTATGATTGTTATAAGTACTATTACATTTCAAAACCTATTATATGCAGTTTTAAATTGGAGTTAATTCATATGATTAACAGTATATATACATCTCCTTATAAGAGGATACTCAACAAAGATAGATATTTGATTGTTCAAAGATGATGTATTTTGTAAAACTGTTGGTTTTGATGTTAGCATGTAAGTTACTATTTATTTTATTTTGGTTGTTCTTTGTTTTTAATCGTATTTCTTTATTTGAATAAAAAGACGTGAGATATACGTCAAAGACATGTATTGTTCATTTTTAACAGTTCTATAAATCTTCACAGTAATCTACCTCTAATATATTATGTGGTAGGTGAATTTATATTCCTTACTTCTGTAATTACAATACCAACTGTGACTTAAATACAAAAGTTGTCCATTAGGTTTCAATAGTAAAAACTCATCAAAAATAGCAAATATGTATTTCACAATTCAACCCATACAGATGGAGGTACAGTCCATGACCATTACAGCCTTACAATTAGTCCTTTTCAGTACTACTTAATCAAATACTAAGGAAAGACCATCGACCAAGATGATCTTCGTTCATATTTGAATTATATAGTCTAGAACTATGAATAAAATAGCTGACAAGTTGCTGTTACGGTCAATGCATTCACCCTATAACCTTTTATTAACTTTCTTCAACATTTGTAGCATAGGACCTTATGGACAACTTTTTACTTGCAAACATTCTGAAATGTTTTGTCAGAGTTCGTATATACTACATAGATAAATATACAGAGCAAAATAATAAACTGTTTAATAATTTTTTTTATTTATAACTCATTTTTGAAAATTTATAAAACTAAAACGGACTTCGACATATGTTTTGTTTAGTTTTCTATTACACGGTACCTTTGTAGCAAAAGATAACATGTTTTTATTTTCGGTACTTTGATGAAGGTTAAAATAAAAAAAAATCCAATAGAAAATAAATAGCATAATGTCCCTGTATTTGTTTCATTTAAAGGGTCGAAATCTTCAAGTTGATTTATTATTCTTTAATTTGAATATGAAGATATCTATATCATATACGTAAAAAATCGTCTTATATTTCTGTACATGTGGTTGATGAAGGCATCTTGATAGAATATTTTCTAGTCTCAAAATAATTGAGCATGGTTTTTGGATTTGGATTTTTTTATTGTAGCTCTGTGCCGATGTAATGCATTGCCTGTTTAAGAATAAAGATAAATATAGATACTTGTAGTTTTTGAATCGAAGGACGTCTCGAATTAAAATGAATAAACTTTTACCCGTCAATATATAATTTTTACATATGTACCTCAATCAGACTTTAATTTTTGTAAAGAATGTCCTACTCATACATTTTTGGGATCATTACAAAAACAAACACAAAATGTGACAAAATCTATTAAAAAAAAAAGGCGTTTTTGGCAATCTTTTGGAGTTTATGATTTGGTCACCTGTTTACAATTGATTATGTTATAACTACAAAGAATACAAATCAAGATACTAATCTGTGAATTAAGGTCAAGACTTTTTGAAAATTGTCCTGCTGTGTACAACCTTATACTTATCTTAACCTTAAAAAGGGAGTTGTTATGAGCAAAATTTATTTTAAAAAACTGGTTTCTGCTAAAAAAAAAACTGTAAGGATCTTGTGCAGTAATATCAAAACTTTTTTGATTTTCTACGCTTTCCACTACTATTCCCCATGCATAATTGAAAGATCGAATACATCGTCTCATCAAATAAGAGCTTTTCTTTTTACAAAAATCAGAATCTTAGAAAGAAATTCCTAGGTTAATGTCATGAAATATTTTTCTTTTTGACGAACCGCACAATTCAAACAACAAATACACCGAAGATGATACTCCAAAATGCTTCACTTTTTTATCGATTAATATGATAACATTTAATAAAGTGATACAAAGTAATAAAATGTACACCTGCATGTCATTCTCATCATAGGTTTTGCTCAAGCAGTACCTCCACCCCTTCCTTCACAAATATGTACAGATAGAATTGGAGAATTAGTACAAGAATTCGCTTCACAGGAGACAATACCAGATATTGAAAGTTATGTACAGACTAATAGCTTGACAGGGGAGTATCATTTCAATAAAAGTATGGTAGATGATTATTGTAGGTGAGAATTAATTAAAATCAAGTATTCTTTGATATTTTCAGAATAAATTTATATATAAATATGTACGACAGACGTTCTGAATTGCATAACCTTATGTAATACAGTACTAAGTTCACTAATTGCATAAACTTCGTCTAAAATTAAGCCCAGCAGTGTTAGCAGGTGCAAATATTTGTTCTTTTTCATCGACGGGAGTCGAAAGCATCTGCAGTGTCATCGTTGCAACACCCCGACGTTTGCGACTAAATCACTAGTCCAACTGAGCTATATGCAATTAGTGTTTAAATAGAATGCGAGATGTTGGGTTTAATATAAATTATAGTCGATTGGTTTCTTTTACATTATCAAAATTTGAGTCATAATGTAAAGTTTTCATATTCTAATTTATGAAGAAGTTATAATCTTTTAATAGATTGCATGATTTTCAGAGTATCTGGATTATAGGTATCTTGTGTGTGCCCTTATCTCTAACTGAAAATGATAGATATAAGAAGATGTGGTATGAGTGCCAATGTGACAACTCTCCATCCAAGTCAAAATTTATAAAAGTAAACCATTATAGGTCACAGTACGGTCTTCAACACGGAGCCTTGGCTCACACCGAACAGTAAGCAATAAAGGGCCCCAAAAAATTACTAGTGTAAAACCATTCAAACGGGAAAACCAACGGTCTAATCTATATAAAAAACGAGAAACGAGAAACACTTATGAACCACATCAACAAACGACAACTACTGAACATCAGATTCCTTAAGTGAGATCACTTATAAATTATAGGACTATATATAGTCATTTATTATTTTTTCCTGTCAACGTCCCAAATCTTCAATCCGCAATTTCCGATTCTGATTATTTAATTCTGATAGAATATTAATACGTACGATATGTTTAGCAGGTGTATATTCCTTTTGTATTAAGTGAAGTTTTAGAAATTAATTATTCTTCCATAGGTCTATCCAGTCATGCGCGTAAACCCAGTGTTTATGATGAATATCATACACCTAGTGCATGTTTACAAACTGTAAAATGGATTTTTCCAACATGACCTTTATCAAAAAAGATATTTTATCTATGTTCTGCTTTATCCTTTCTTTTGCTGTATAGAAGGTCATAAAGGTATCCTTAAAAACAAACTTCAAAATTATATATACTTAATTTATATATGCACTTTATTTTCATTTTGATATTCTACCAATTAATGTGCCATAACACAATTGTTAGACATAACGAGTTTCAATCCGAATTTATAAAATGTATTTTGGACTGAATCATACACAAGGGAAGTTTGAGAATAAACCTACGTAACGACTGCAAAACAACTGCAGTATTCCTGACAACTGAAATAGAAACTTCATCAGTTTTACGGTCACCATTATGAATTAGTAGATATATACGGTGTGTCGTTGTCTCAACTCACTAGCGACATGTTTTTACGGTCTCAGATCTTTAGAAACCAGTAAAGTCGTCTGATCTTTAAGTTTACCGATTGTTTCTTATGCCCAAATCTGACATTTTGACTGAGGTTTTAATTCGCTTGGCGGTTGATGCCTGCATAGCAGGAGACGCTTACCCTGTCGACCCACCCAGGATCGATCCTTTATGGAGTTCTTGCGATTCCCCCAGATTGTTATTTGTTACCTTGATTTGTGTCTTCAATGAATCAAGTCCACACAACATTACTTAGAAAACAAACGAAACCCACGAAAAACTGCGGGTTGCATTAGGCGCACTCGAAGGGACAGTTCTTGCTCCAATAGTCGTGACATTAGTCGTGTTACTCATGGCAAGTAATAATTCGGCGATAAGTCTCATTTAGTAATGTCACAATCGAGAAAAAGGACAGGAGTGCGGGACTATGGCTAAGGCAAGTGGAACATACTTGTGCTCATCTGTGATACAAATATTCAATAACTGTCAAATAAATAAAAGATAACGTCCGTAAAGCTTTCGAAGAAGTGACTTCAACTTCACTATTTGGAAACTTTCGTAAATGCCTTGTAAGATAAGGCAGAGAGGGTTTTTTTTGTAATTGATAATAAGATCTATGCACAACTATTTCTGCTTGAAACTGTTCTTGTTCGACGGGAGCCGCTAAGGATCTGCATCCCCTTCCCGAGCACCTAAGATCACCCTCCTTTTTTGGTTATGTTCATGTTGCCTAATCTTTATTTTTTTATGTAGTGTTTTGTGAACTTGTTGGTCTTTTCGGCATCTCTCATTTTTTACCATGACGTTGTCAGTTTATCTCGACTTACGAGTTTTGTGCTAATACTTTAAGTCTTTGGTTGATGTTAGAGTCATCCTTACCATGGTAGGGTTCGAATTGTTTAGTGTTTAGTTTTCTATGTTGTGTTTTGTAGACTGTTGTTTGTATTTGAGTTGTTTTTGTAATGGCGTTGTCATTTTGTCTTCGACTAATGAGCTTAAATATTCCTTTGATAGGCTATTTCTAAACGTTTAAAAATGCATTGGAAATAAACACGAGTTTATGTTCAGATGATTAATACTTGGGGAATTTGCTTCGAGAATTTGTCTGTTTGCGAGGCAATTTCGAAAAGACAAACTGAATTCTAGATAAAAAATATTCTTTAGTTGTTAACGTGGTGCGAAAAGATACATTTTGCACCTATATTTATTATACTCATTTCAGATGAATTTAACAAATAGTCATAACTAGTTGATTAAGGAATATTGCAAATCTGTAACACAAAATTAGCTTTTAAGAAATCAAATTATCAAGTCATTTATATAATTACTGTTTTTAAGTGGTTCTTTACTACGATTTTAAATATTTCTTTTTAGCTTGTTTCGCAAGGTGGTTCCATTTTACGAAAACAACATTGCAGGTTTGCGCATTTTGTGTAACACTCATCAGCTAAGACATTATTTAGAGATAATGTCGCATATAAAGAACATTGCCATGTCATTGTGTGATGACGAGAAAATGAAAGGTATCATAACGACTATTTTATAAAAATCATTAGTATTATTCTTATTCGATTCCTAGTGTATTGTGAGAAAAAAAACAGCTTTTACGCTAAATAAATAAAGGCAACAGTAGTATACCGCTGTTCGAAACTCATAAATCGATAGAGATAAAAACAAATCCGGGTTACAAACTAAAACTGAGGGAAACGCATCAAATATAAGAGGAGAACAACGACACAACAAAAACACAACATTAAAATGTAACACACACAGAAACGAACTATAACATAACAATGGCCATTTTCATGACTTGGTACAGGACATTTTAAGAAAAAAATGGTGGGTTGAACCTGGTTTTGTGGCATGCCAAACCTCCCGCTTTTATGGCAATGTTAAATATAACATTAAAATGACAATATAACATGACAGGATTACAATACAAATAAATGGGGGAATATATAGGACAAAGAAACACACGAATAATAGCTAACAAAAGGCACCAGGTTTAAAATCCAATACGCCAAAATTCTCTTTTTATGATAACTGCGAAAAATAGGATTTAGAACTGAATTATTGTGAACGATGTTTGTAGAAATGAATCTTGCTTTTCAAGTCTCAAGTAACCATCGATTGATTAGATAATTGTTGTTTTTCTCAATCGATGGTTATTTCACCCTCTTTGAGAGAACCTTATATACCTTTTATTTCAAACGGATCAAAATGTTTTATTTGGGTATTGTGTATTGAAATATATATATAATATGTAATGCACTACTTCGTTCACTGAGATAGCTGTCAGTGGAGTAATTGTTAACAGCTTGTGCAATATTGTTGTTGAATAAAAAAAAAACTATATTGTTCCGAGCCTAAAACAAATACGAATAAATAGTACAGAAACTCTCAACAAATTCTCCAAAGTAGCAAAAACCATTAAGATATAAAATGAGAGAATCAATACCGAGGTTCCTAATTTAGGACAGCCACATTAATATGTGGTGGGTTAACACATGTTTTTTTTTAATTTTTTTTTTTAAATATCATCTCATCTTTTTTACAGGAATAACACTTTTCTAAAATAACGGTATAATCGATAACAAATCTATCTGTACAAAAAATATAAAAGTTCAAAGTATACTCATTGTTATTCCAAAAATCTACGAAAACTATCAAATCCTTCTTTAATAACATAATAATCTATGTTTGTAATTGGTATAGGAAAATATTGGATTTGCATGACTTTTTCCGGTTCACTTTTGTCTGTGAATAAGGCTATGATGGTTCAATGCCATTGCATCTGATTATTTGATAATACCACACCGACTAGTTTTCCTATAGCAATGTAAGTCCTGCATAAGTTTTATGTCGTATGAAAAGTTTAGATTGTCTCATCTGATTTCCATTATTTTTTATGCACAGTCATATGTAAAAATTGGAGAAAAAAAAACAACTGTCCTGACTTGGTACATGCAATTTCCTACGAAAATGGTGCGTGAAACCTTTTTTTTTTTAGCTAGCGAAAACGCCCACTTGTATGACAGTTGTTCAATGTTCAGTAATGTTGCCAAATTGGGTGAGCAACCCAAACAGACATAATTGGTTAACGTGGCAATAACTGGGATACAGCAGTCAACTGCGTAAACATACATTACAGACACACAACTCAACTGAATTAAACATTCAAACACAGTTACCATTTAAGAAGCCAACACAAACGTTTTTGTAATTGATAATACAGTCAGTATTGTAAACAAAATGAAAACAAGACTATAAAAACATCACGTGTTTTAATCAAAATAGGTGTCTGTACATAAAAAAAATAACTATAGTTTACCGTTTCAAAGTATCCACATAGTTACATAGAGCAAAAATTATAGTAATTTTCACATTTACTCATGGTCCGTTATTTGATGTGTACGGTCATTTACAAGAAATATTCGTGGCTGTTGTTTTTTTTTCCAGGTCTTCATGATAGGTTTTTAACAGTTCGGGTCGACAGGTTTCCTTCAAATTGGTAAATGTAGTAAATTATCGTTTTTATATCCGGTCTGGTCATGTTGTGTATAATATTCAATGTATTAGTCGTGAGATTTTACATTTGCAGCTGTTTAAATAGTCTTATTTTATCAATGAGTCTTTGTGTTTATATGCAGAATAAATTGTATCACCCACCAAAAGACTACTTTCTCAATACCCCAAACGTGCACGGTATTTGTTTTTGTCTTTAGTGTTATTGTACACTGGTTCTTCTACGAACAACAGGAACGGTAAATTGGTTTTATTGCGCGTAGATGCGTCTTCAAATTTATAGATAGGTAAAACGGTGAATTTGTTTTCATGGCCGATAGTCATAACAAAAACACATGTTAATCAAATATCTGTTGCATTAATTGTTCTTTTTGACGTTTAGTGAAGGCCTTGTTTCTGTCTGTTACCTTTTATATAAATGTTGCTTCCCATACTTGATTTTGTATTACAGATCTATAAGCCCTTCTGACATGTGTTAGTAACAACCGATTTTGTATTACAGATCTAAAAGCCCTTCTGACATGTGTTAGTAACAATCATATAGCACAGCATGGATTCGTTGGTTGTCTTCATGGTACGGTACGTGGTTTGAGTTTGAGTAAACCCGATTCGCTCATTTGTACGTAAGTATATTTGCCATTTCAAAATGAAGTATAGAATCAGATCTCTGCCAAAAAAAAATGAATGGAAATAGAATTTAATTAATTGAACAATCATGAATTGCTGCTTGAAAAAATCTAAATATGCAATTTCTACGATTCCGGAGAGTAATGAAACTATGTGTCCTTCATTAATAATCTACTAATTTCAAGCTTGGTGTATATTCATTTCTTGAAATAGAAAAGTTTTATGCATTATGTATTTATCTATTCAACTTTGAATGTGTATGCTAGAAAACTTAAACTTGTTAATCCTTTCGAAAGTTTTACGGACGCCTTCATGGTTTGGTTGACGTTATTGAATATCTATGTCTAATATGACTACGAATTATGTTCAACTTGTCGGACCACTATCCCGTCCCCACCTTCTCGATTAAGACGATACCGAAAGCGACTTATAACGGAATATTTACTTGATTGCGAATCGCGACGGGTGACACATGTGGAGCTGAAACTGCCTACCCGCCGGAGCACCTCGGTTTTTGGTTGGGTTCGTGTTGCATAGTTTTTATATTTCTATTTGATGTTTTGTTATTGTTGTTTATCCTTTCGTCGTTTTTATTTTGCAATGGTATTGTCTGCATGTTTTTTATGAAATTTGAATGTCTCTTTGGTATCTCCTCTCTCTTGTTTAAGAAATAATTCTGGCTAACATATTTTATGATTGTGATTTGTGAATTTTTAATGATGCTGTCTATCTTCTTACTTATCCATATTTGAAAAAAATTAAGAGTGATAAGGGAAATGAATTTATAGAATTTAGATATCGCTGAAATTGGTACTAAGATGTATATTTGAAACATCTTAACAATAGAACTACATTTGCATTACCAAATTAAAACAGTATAGATAGTGTATGCATTCGGAAAACAGGATATTCACATATATTCAAATATGAATTTCAAGTGATCGGTTATATATATATATGCTCGCGGTTTCAACATTTGTAGTTATTGATTTCAAATTAAGTTTTTACTTTATAAATATACTACCATTTTCTTAATCATAAAAACAACATAGCTTAATACGCCAAAATATAAAAGCAAATGTAACATTAAATTCGAACGATGATATTTTTTGCAATACATGTATCGTATTTCAACGAATCAAAAATATTTGTACATACTGCAGTATAGTATCGTTATTACATGTATTGTATACTTTAACTGAAACTTTCAAATTATGTAAAATAGAAATACTAGTATTAGAATAAACAGTTAATAATATTTGAGCTTTTCTATATGACCGATATCGTAGACTAAGTCTTTGTGTACACTGTGTATTTCTTTCCTTGATGTGGGGCTTTGTAGATATGATAGCGTTTGTCTATAGAACTTCAAATCATAATGCAATAAATAAAGCATGCCAAAAGTAGTTACTACTTTATTGAGTTAATCCGACTGTTCACGTTATATTATGAGAAGGGATTCATGGAAAATCAAAAACTGCAAGGAAAGAAAAAATGTCTACACCTATATGAGAAAGTTAGAATTGTTTGACATCCAAATGAGAATAATGAATTTTTTTTTTTTTTTTTTTTTGTAGAGAAGACGATCACCAATACCAATCTTGGTTCACATCTGTAGCCACCAGTTTTAAGTCATGTTTTTGTCAGTTTGATTCGTGCGCGCCAGAAAGTACAAAGTCAATTACAGAAATGATCACAAGTCATCAAGTTGACGCTTGTGAAATTGTTAAATTTGCGGTAGGGGGAGAGTAGCGTACCACAACATCTGATTTTAATCAGATTTTCTCCAGTCGATAATATAAAATAACAAAATTCTGAATAAATAAAGTTAAAAGAGAAATGCATTCTATCTTAATCAATCCGTATCTTTTTTGTTATTAAACTACGTTTCTTTTAGCGATTTTGTTCGAACCCCCTGCCCTCTCCCCCTTTCTCTATCTCATTCGCTCCTTGTGTGTAAAAGACCTTGACCGAATTGAAACAGTATAACATATTTTTGGGGGGAATATACTGACGAACCAAGTGTCTGCGTGCCAAACCTTTAATGAGAAATATTTTGTACTTTTTAATATACATCTTCGCCATAATCCGAAACCGAAACTGAAACCAAGGCTTTTTCATGGAGTGAGTAAAATGCTCATCTGTAAATGTACCAAAACAAATTCATGTTACTAGTACTAAAAAAACATTGTTTCGTGAATACGAATTTCGCTTCCGTTTTTTGGTGAGGTTCAGGTCTTTAGTTTTCTCTGTTGTTTTTTGTGGACTATTGTTTATCTTTTGGTCGTTTTTCGTGTTTTGCCATGGCATTGTCAGTTTGTTTTCGACTGATGAGTTTGCTTATCCCTTTGTAATATTCTGATTCTCTTTTAATCTGACACTGACGTGTGTATTAATTTTGACAAAACAAGTTTGTTGTGCAATTTATACTTTCCCTCCTTTTGTTTCTCTTTTCCTTGATGCTGGAAGTGTTTCTGCTCCCTCTGCCCCTTTTAACCTTTGCAATATTCCTCTTGACGTGCGAAGTTTGGGATTTATGCTTAATTTGCGTCTTCATCGGTAAGGTAAATTATGTCATAGTTTTAATATCTATCAAACACACAAATCGAAATAGAAAGTTAAAAAAAATACAAATGGTCTGCATATAATTAAAAGTAGACTTCAGATTTCTGAACAAATTAGTACTTATTGTTTGTTCATGAGCCTACTTTTGTACCAACATGTTTTAGTCACATTCATTTAAAAGAATAGTATATAATATGTATAAGCTGGGTTTATTTTTTTTTTTCAAAACTACATCATACTGATTATATTGATAGTCTTAAATAATTCATAACCAAAGATAATAGTCCAGGCTGTAGCATGGAATTGAAAGCACTGTGCGAAATGCAGGAGTTTGTCATCAACAGTTACAGTATCTCTAGCTTGAGCTTTTCCTCTCTTTATAAAATAAACAAAACATCGATAATCCAACCTTTTAATGAATTGCTTTGACCAACACATTTTTTTCAAAATCGTTGTAAACTTATGCATGGCATTAAATGTCCATCCATGCAAATTAAAGTGAAATTCTGTAGAGTTTTGTCCAGCTTAAAACCAGTTACCTCATTAAAAATATCAAACCGTCAAACAACGAAAACATTAGATATTGTTAGCAATAAAATGACATTGCGATAAGTAAACAAGATGATAAATGTTATTATTTTCAACATACCAGTGACACATTAAGGGCTTATGATACAGTTTCTATCCCACTGTGATTTTATTACGAAAATTTGCATACAAGCTATTTTTCTCCTGGTCAATTTAAATATGTAATAAAAAATATAACTTCATGCGCTAAATTCAGAGAAACATCTGGTCTAAATTTTAGACATTTACCTAAAATTTTGGTTTCTTTGACATTTCTATCATTGGAGAGACATATCCAACTTTTTTGTTTCAAAAGATAAACACATGCGGATTTTTGTAAAACGATTAAGAAAATCTTCTTTACTAAAGCATCCTCTAAAGTATGTAACAATTCTTTGGAAACAATTCCTTTTTATTAAATTTTCAAGATTTTAGAAAAAAACCGACATTTTTGCTGTATATTTATACAATTTAAAAACAACTCATCGGTGATTTCTTCATTCAAATTGGAATAGATAATCTTCATATAGGATCAAGTCAAATGTCATTTTAAAACAGAGGGGTCCATGTACCCGTTTCCAAGCTAATGATTAAAATCACTCAAAAAATGCATATTTTCCCGATATGTAGCAGGTTGACGTCAAGAAAAATAACATATTACGTTAGCAACGTCATTTTCTCCCATGTAACTGTATCGTATGCCCTTTTAAAAGACTTTACGTAAACGTAGGAGAGACCTAGAAAATATCATTATCATTGAAAGGTTTTTTTTAAGTCAAAATTGTATATTTAGAGAATCTTCACATTTCGACATTAACATAACTTTATCTTCCAGTCTAAATTAAATTTAGAGAAATCATAAGTTGTTATTTGGAACAGTTAGGAAATACTGTTATATTTATATGTAAATTTAAAAAAAAAAATGAAATTTTATTTTTATTTGATTAACTCACAATATTTAGGTAAAGGTGATGTTAAGTTATATTAAATTTGATGTATATATTGGTCGACAGTGAAGAAGATGGCTATTCCGTTGAATATAGATATAAGAAGATGTGGTATGAGTGCCAATGAGACAACTATCCATCCAAGTCAAAATTTATAAAAGTAAACCATTATAGGTCACAGTACGGTCTTCAACACGGAGGATTGGCTCACACCGAACAGTAAGCTATAAAGGGCCCCAAAAAATTACTAGTGTAAAACCATTCAAACGGGAAAACCAACGGTCTAATCTATATAAAAAACGAGAAACGAGAAACACTTATGAACCACATCAACAAACGACAACTACTGAACATCAGATTCCTGACTTAGAACAGGTGCAAACAAATGCAGCGGGTTTAAACGTTTTAATGGTACCAAACCTTCACCCTTTTTCTGAAACAATAGTGTAACATCACAACATAGAAAGACACATTATAAAATATCAACTGAAATAGCTTAACTCAATCAAAGGACATATTAACACCATTGAACATACACTGAACAAATAAATTTGACCTATGACACAATGTAAATACAAAATAGATAAACTAAGGGAAGAATAATAAAAGTAACATGTTATATCGGTAAGAAATGTTAAACAATTAAAGAAAAACAATATGCTCAAACAAAAATATCAGCCTTTTGCAATAACTTTAAACACAGGTAAATGAAAATAATTTTGTTGTTAGGTGTACGTGTACAGTACCAATAGAGAAAGGACATATTTTTACAAAATAAATAATTTTGATGTTCATAGTACGAAGTGAAAATTTATAGTTATACCAAACACTTATCAAAGCTGGTATATAGACCAGATATTACCCTGAATAACATTAAATAACAAAAAAGCAATACAATTAGTATCAACAGGTCAAATAAACAAGAAAGTATGCACACACTGCTATGGTTTTGTTAGATATTGATACACTCAGCATTGAAGAAGAAGTTTTGTTTAACTTATGGTTTTGATTCCAAAACCAAAATATAATTAGAAACATTATTTCATCATCTTGGATATTCTTCTATTAGACAGCATAACAAAACCTGGTCTGCCACTTTTTCTTTCAAGTTGTAATTACGTGTTAGGTAAAATTCAGCTACTCTCGAAGACGGTGTTATCTTCCATTTGAAAGTCCATACACACTTTTTGGGGAAGCCAAATATATCAATGGGGTTCAATTTCGCAAAGGTATTATATATCAATGTGAGCAGTTGTTATGAGTCATAAATTCTCTTTTCCTAGTAGAGTATCTGCAAAAAACTTTTATTACTCCTTATATCTCACTAATATGATTGACCCCATCTGTTTATCATCTTTATTCTTTATGTTTTATTATCGTAAGTTGCACAATTCTTTTTATTCTTATTTTAAAAGGTAGATCATAAGTATATATTTTTTGAGACAGAATTTTCTTATACTTTGCCAAAATGAAGATTTTACTATGCTTTTTTTTAAATATAATAAAAAGTATGGGTCACCGTGCTATTTTCCAAGCTATGAGTCGTTGAAAATTGTCTAAATTTGGTTAGATTGTTCATGAAAAAACACATTTGTGTGCATAAAAAGAAATCTATGAGATAGAATTTTGAAATAAATTGTGAGAAGATAGGTTTTATAAAATAATTTAAGAAAATAATAAGAAAAAATGGTGTCTCCGAACTTGTTTTCTTGCTACAAGTAAAAATTAAAAATTTCCCTATCAGTCCAGTATATATTTTATACTAAAAGAGTTATCTCCCCTTAAATGGCTTATTTGAAAAAATTGATTTTAAAAACACAAAATATGATATCTGTTTAAATATTTTGTATAGTACAATAAATCACCTAGTTTTCTTTATATTAATAAAGAGTGTAACAAATAATTTGCAAATCTGTCTCCAAATTTGCAGAATTGAGCAAATAACTAGACCAATTTTGTACTGCGATTGTACAATCCAAGATGGCGGTATACCATGAAACAACCTTAAGATGGCAAAGACTTATGTCTGACAGTAGAGAATCTTTATGAGTGGGTTTATAATGCATTAATCCAGATTTTTTGCAAAACATTCAATGAATGATTGTTGAGTGCTTATTAGTTCACCTTGCTCGAAAGGCATTGTGAGCTTTGGACATCACTTTGCGTTCTGCGTCGGAGTAACTGCCTCTGATATGTTGTTTTTAATGTTGTTTTTGCTGTTTTAGCTATTATAAAAAAAAGTCTATACGAGCTAGGTTAAACATGTTATTGCAAAAAGATCGATCAGCAACACAAGAGTAACTATAGTATGTGCATGAAAAAGTTCTAATTAGCAAACTGGTGATTTTTTCACAAGGTGAGAGATAGAGGCGCAGGTGTGTCTCTTCTTTATACCCAAATCCCCCGTGCCCTCGTAATAAGATAACACTCATCGTTACTTCATCAACTTTTAGACAATTTCGCGATTAAGAACATTTACATCATAAATAAAGTTGGATCGACATCTTATATGGTATACTACCCCAATGTACTAATGTACTCGGTAGAGGTTGAATTAAATGTTTTTCATAGATTGATGTGAATGTATGCTTCAAGTTGCAATCGATTTAATTTTTTCAGGGTTTAAACATGATTATACGGGTTGAGGTCAATACAAAAAATAATACATATATTTACTGGTATAACCTTCCAAATTGTGAACTTTCCGTTTCTATGTAGAACTTTCCAGCACGTCTGCATATAGAGTAAATAATACCCGGTT